TCAGGACAAATCTCTGTCACCCACCAGTCCCACAGCCGCTCAGACCCAACAAAGTAAACACAGAGACTTATATTGCTTACAAACTGTATGGCCGTAGTAGGCTTCTTCTTATAGCTTAAATTAACCCATTTCTACAAATCTATACCTTGCCACGTGGCTCATGGCTTACCGGCATCTTTACATTCTGCTTGTCCTGGCGACGGCTGGCAGTGACTCCTTCTGCCTTCCTGTTCTTTTATTTCTCCTGCCTATACTTCCTGCCTAGCCACAGGCCAATCAGTGTTTTATTTATTGACCAATCAGAGCAACTTGACATACAGACCATCCCACAGCACAGCCAAGTGCAGACCATCTCAGACACCTGCACTCAGGCCCATGGTCCTAATCATCCTCTATGCGGACTTGCTGGGTAAAGCCACGAGGAACCCAAGAATGGGCTCCCACAGGACATACAGAAGATCCCACAGCACACCTCTGTCAATGCAGGTTCAGTGATTTCAAGTAAAGTCTGTAAAGTATAGAGAAAATACATGCAATAAGCTCATTATTATATTACAAGCACATTATAATTACCATTTGACTTGCAACTATTAATAAAAATGAGCTTTTAAAATAAGAAATGGAATGGTAAGACAGCAATCTTCTGAAACACTGGGGTCAAATAAGAAAACAAATTTTTTTCTATTCCTTTGTGAGAATTTTTAGACAGTTTAAAATTTAAAAATTGGGATTTCTTAGAGGTATAAACTATAAACAATGTAATAAACTGAAAGTAATATTTTTTTCACTCTAATATAGATTCAATACATTTAAATTACATTTTTTCTTGACTGAATTGCACACTATCTTCATGACTATCAAAGTTAAGATTCTTATCTGTCATTCACTAGCACAAATATTTGTAGTTATGGTTACCTGGAGCAAGTAAGTATAGTTGGTGAAGTACTCTTTTCCCACCATGTAGTTAACTGAATTCCAACAGGGAAGGGTGTGTGTGGCTGGGCAACAGGCAAACTGTAACAAAGCAACAAGCTAGGAAATGTGCCATGGTAACTAACAATAAGTTGTAGTTCTTGATAGTTTCACTAGGTGGCACGTGACCAACTGGAACAAAAGTAAAACTACAGGAGAGCCAAGGCATGATGATTCAGGGAATAAAGAGCAGTTTCTCTAGTCCTCTGCCTTTATTCATTTGCCTGTCTGTCTGGGCTGCTCGCAGCTCAGATAGCTAATATTTGTTCTAGATATCATAGACTACGGTGTAGTCTATGAATATAGCACTGTGAGTGCCAAATGCAAAGTGAGTACTCAGTTAAAATGTGGCCGGCCCTGAAAACACATGTGTACAAGTAACACTGTATGGAATGAGCAGACTGCATTTATATGTTTAGGAATAGAAACACACACATGCATGTCTCTCTATATATAGAGACAGAGAGATATATAGATATAACAACAATTTTTTAAGAGGCCATGAATACAAAAAAAAAGAGCAAGTGGGTACATGCTAGGGTTTGGAGGAAAGAAAAGGAAGTGGGAAATGCTGTAATAAAAAGTTTAAATAAAAATAAATAAGCCACAAAAATTAAATCTTTAAAAATATTGTTGTATGATCAGTACTCATAGAAAGACAATTGTTATATTGATTTTCAACTGTTTAATGCTAGTAATGATAAAGGTCAAGAATTTGTATGATTTGTAGTATATTTCCAAATGATTTATAGGATTAATTAAAATACTTAAATATAAAATTATAGAAATAAATGCATTTGTTGAATGTCTTCTAATTTGTAAGATTTGTTTAGATACTTGCATGAAAATTGTTGGTATGAAAAAACAATGGTATTCATCTACTATGAAGACTACAGCCTTAAAAAAGACCTTGCAAACATAACAAGGATGGCCTTCATAAAAATAGTTTGTATGTGGTAGTGAAAAAAACAAACAAACAGAAAAAATGGGAGTCTGCCTCAACACTATAGGGAATTAAAGATTGTGCACAACCTGACAAGACAAAATACAGCTAGTATTGATTTGCTTTCTGCTGCTCTAATAAAGACCATGATCAAAAGCAACTTGGGAAAGAAAGTTCATCATCAAGAGAAATCAGGGAAGATTGCAATCCATCCTTGAGGGAAATCAGGACAACAAGTCAAGCAGGAGCCTGGGGACAGGAACTGAGTCAGAGGCCATGGAGGAATGGTGCTTACTGACTTGCTTTCCATGGTTTGTTCAGCTGGCTTTTTCAAACAGCGTAACACCACCTGCCCAGGAGTGGTAATGCTCCCAGTGGTCTGGGCCCTCCCACATCAATCATCAATAAGAAAATTCCCCACAGCTTGCCCACAGTCCAATCTATTAGAGGCAATTCCTCAACTGCGGCTCATCTTCCCATATGATTCCAGCTTGTATCAAGTTGACAAAAACCAAAACAAAACAAAAACAAAAACCCATCAGCACATTGCATACCACTGATTCTCAATTTTCTGAGATCTAAGATTTGTGAGAGAGAATTACATAAAAATGTTCATTTACATTGTTTTAGTTTTTCTCTCTGGATGTTTATTAATATTGGCAAATTGAGCATGTATTTCAGGTGACTCCTCAAGTAGAAATCTGTGTCACTTCTCATTTTAAAAACATGGAAAATTTACAGAAATATAAAAGAAATATTGGAATATTCCTTTATACTGCGTGAATATGTATCACTGTGATTGGACTAATAAAGAAGTTGACTGGCCAATAGCTGGACATGCAGTGGTTAGGCGGGACTTCAGAGAGAGAGAGAGAGAGAGAGAGAGAGAGAGAGAGAGAGAGAGAGAGGAAGAAGGAGGAGGAGGAGGAGGAGGATCTCAGAATTGTGAGGAGACATGGAGAGGAGATGGATTTGTTCTCCTGAGAAAAGGTATCAAGGCACGTGGCAGAGAGTAGATAAGAAATATGAGTTAATTTAAAATGTAAGAGTTAGTTAATAACAAACTTTAGCCATTGGCTAAGCACTTATAATAAGTCTCAGTGTGATTATTTGGGAGGGGCTGCTGGGACACAGAGAAACTCCAACTATAAAAATAGCTTTTTCTTTTCAAAAAAAAAAAAAAGAAAATAATTTTAATTTATTGACTATTCACTTTGGAGCAAGGACAATATTTAAATCCTGATAATTAAGAGAAATAATACTATCATATTATCTACCAGGCAAGTGAAGTGTCTATGAAAATATTTGTCTAGAGTTACACTTCTAGTGAGTAGAAAGGTCTGAAGTTAATGGACATCATCATCAGGCTTCTTCTTATGAACATCTCTACTTGTCATATTTTTCTAGGTACTCAATTATAAAATGAAATCAGTGTTCACAAAACATGTGCCTGCTGTTTGCTCATTCTTGCAAAAGAAAAAAAAAAAAAACATGTGGTCTAGTAAGACATCAGGACTGAGTCATCAGCAACAGTTCAGCTGGGGTGGCCTTCCAGAAGCC